TGTGGTTCCAGATCTAGTGTCAGCCTGCTGGTGGGCAGGGCCTATTCCTGACATAGCTGGCTGAAGAATCTGGAGTTTCCCCAAACTGGTGCTGGCCTGCTGGTGAGTGTGGGTAGATCCTTGGGTGGCTGGCTGAGGGGACCAAGGTGTCTTGGAGCTGGTGTTGGCAGGCCTAGGCTCAGTGGTCTGGGACTAGTGTCTGCTCACTGATGGGTGGAGCCAGGCCCTGGGGGTCCTGAAGCTGGTGTCAGCTCACTAGTTGCTGGGGTAGATCCCAGGGCTGCTGACTGAGGAGTGCAAGGTGTCCCACAGCTGGTAGTGTCCTGCTGGTAGGCAGGACTGGGACCCAGGAAGTCCCGGGGCTGGTACTGACCTGCTGGTATGTGGGCTGGATCCTGACTTGGCAGGCTGCAGGGCTGTGTGGTCCTGGGGCTGGTGTCCACCTGCCGGTGGGTGAAGACCGGTCCTGGAACTAGTACCAGTCCACTAGTAGGTGTAGCCGGGTCCCAGTGTCTCTGCCTACTGGACCCTAGGGGTCATAGAGTTGCTGTATCAGCCCATTGTTGAGTGGGGCTGGAACCCAGGGGCTCCTTGGTCTGGTGCCATCCCACCGGTGGTGGAACCAGGTGTCAGGGTCTTTGGCTGCAGGGCTCTGGGGGTCCCAGTGCTAACGTTGGCACTCTGGTTGCAAGGACAGTCCCGGGCCCTCTGTTGGACAGGGCTGGGTAACAGGGCAGCTGTGGGCTTAAGGGATCTTAAGGCAGCCAGCCTGATGGTAGGTGAGGCTGTGTTTCTGCCTGACAGGTTGCTTGGCCTGAGGCATCCCAGTATTGCTGCAGAGAGGCTATTGGGTAGGGCTGGGTCCCAGAGCTAATAAGCTAAAGGATTCCAAAATAGCACTTACCAGCACCAGTGTCCTTATGGTCGTATGAGCTCCCCCGATCGGCTGCTGCCCATGTGTATGTCCCCAGCGTGAGCTCCAGTTGCCTCCTGCTTCTCTGGGAGACTCTCCAAAATCAGCAAGTGGGTCTAACCTAGGCTCCTTTCACATTACTGCTGCTGACTTGGGTCTCAGAGTGTGTGAGATTTTGTGTGCACCGTTTTAAGAGTGGCATCTCTATTTCCCACAGCCTTCTGAGTCTCCCAAAAGTAAGACCTGCTGGCCTTCAAAGCCTGTAGGACTCCTGGGCTGGGGAACCTGATGTGGAGCCCAGACCCTTCATTCCTTGGGGAGAAACACTGCAATTTTAATTATTCTCTGCGGCGAGCCGCCTCCGACCAGCAGAATGACGAGTCGCCACACGCAAGATTCTTCTCGTATCACACTTTATTGGAGCACAGCTTGGTTAAAGAAAAGATGGAAGGAAGACCCCGCAATCCTATAGCAGTCTGCTTATATAGGGATTAAGAACATGTGTCGCTCTGTGATTGGCTTTCGCCGATGGTGCGACTTGTGAGCCAGCATCGGATAGGTCGCTACTTTAAAACCTCATTAGTATACTTAGCGCAAGCGCAGTGGCCACAGGAAGGATGATTCAGCTTACTTCAGCTTCCTGCTGCGTGGCAGTTAGCTGACCGCGCCCTACAATTCTCCCATTTGTGGGTCGCCCGCCCAGCATTATGGGTCTCGACTATACCACGACTCTGCACCCCCTACCCATCTTGTTGTGGTTCCTTCTTTATATCTTTATTTGTAGATCTTTTCTGATAGCCTTCCGCTCTTTCTCATCAATAGCTGCTCTGTAAATAGTTGCTCCTTTCCCTAAGTTACCTTTGTACAGCAAAAGAAGAGTACATTCTTACTCTTTCTTGATCCTTCCTCCCACTTCCTGTTTTTTTCTTACCGGTTTTCAGAAAAAAACAAACTAGTTCCCTAGCATCTTTTAAAGGTAATCAATGAGATTTTTAAAAATTTCATTATGACATCATGAATTTAAGCAAAATTGATTTGCTTATCTACTGCAGTTATTTTTTAAATTGCTCAAATTGACCCATTTTTGGCTAGTGGGAAACTCTAGTTCTTTTTGAAACAATTATAATCATCTCGATGACTTCCTTGATTTCTGGTATGAAAAAATATTTCAGATTTATGTGTTTCCTGGCCCAGACCCAAAACCAGCCATTTCGTCAAGGATCTCTTTTTCCTTTTAGCAAGGGATCATATTTAGAGACCACAATCTGGGTGCTATATGAAATACTATATGGTTTTTAAAAGTAATTTATTCTTCAATTATTCCAAGAATTAAAGAATGAAAAAGGATGTGACCAGAACCTAGTTGCAGGGCAGGAATAAAGAGGTAGACACAGAGAATGGACTTGAGGACATGGGGTGGGAGGGCGAAGCTGGGGCGAAGTGAGAGTAGCATTGACATATACTCATTACGGAATGTAAAATAGTTAGCTGGTGGGAAGCAGCCGCACAGCACAGGGAGATCAGCTCAGTGCTTTGTGACCACCTAGAAGGGTGGGATAGGGAGGGTGGGAGGGAGGCTCAAGGGGGAGGGGATATGGGGACATGTATATGCATATGGATGATTCACTTGGTTGTGCAACAAACTAACACAGTTTTGTGAAACAATTATACTCCAATAAAGATCTGTTTAAATAAAAAAAAGCAATTAGCATCAAGCCTTTTAAGGCCCCTATTCTGTAGGCATAAGTAAAATGAGAGAATTCGTAGTGCTAGAATATTGGTTAATGTTTGAGGAGTTGGGCATTTGGGAGAATCTTCCTCAGTGTTAGGATGTTAAGAGACAGAGGACATGATTTGCTTCATCATCTGCTAATGAGGAGTGAACACATGACTTGTCTGTGCCCAGAGGCTGCCATGCCAGGGCCAGAGTTGAAGTGATGTAGACAGCAAGAGTTTGGTAAAGGTAAGCAGTCTTGTCTGGGAATCTGGGGACTTGGGCTCACATCCTGGAATAATTATTGTTTAATCATGCTCACTTTTAACCATGCTTTCCTGTTCTGGAAGCCCTTTAACCTGTGTGTGTTTGCTCATCTGTAAAATGGGTAGAACGTGAGTGAGTGTCTTGGGGTGATGAGTTGAGAAGGACAGCCATCCTTATCCTAGCAAACAGGATTTGTCTGATGGTCATTCAGACAGAAATAAAATACACGCATGAAATATTTACAATGATTACGTCTTCCCCTCTCCTCGAGGTAGTCTATTTCTGGCTATAGGAGTCAGCTGTCTTGATGGGCACCACAAGTCCCCTTGGCCCAACATTTTTCCTTCACTGACTCTGCCACGGTGCTTGGAATCTCCTTGATTCTCACCCCCTTAGTGTTCAGGAATGGGCCTTCAAATGTTGTCTGGGAGAAATGATATATTATGCCATGATTATCTACTGAAACCCCGGTTAAAATGATTTTTGCTGACCCAACCGTGGGACACCTAGGTAGTCTCAGTGGGAATGAGCTTGGCGTGGCTCCTTCTTACAGGGAGAAAGATGGCTGGAGAGGTCCAGAAGAGACCACATTTTAAATCACAGGGCCAGTTTAGAGGACCTCCCACGTAAGGGAGAAGGATGGGAGAAGGAAATCCAATGGCAGGTCACTAGTGGCTCTCTGTTGTTTCTATTTTACCTTGATTTTATTTTGGAGAACTGTCTTTCCCTCTTTGGGTAGGGTCTTTTTAAATATCCTCTCAATGGAAGGGATAGGTATATGATCTGAGCTAGGTCAGTCAGATGCTGTCTTTTATTTTTTAATTTTTTTATTATTATTTTTAAAGCCTTTATTGAAGTTGTTACAATATTGCATCTGTTTTATGTTTTGGTGTTTTGGCCATGAGGCCTGTGGGATCTTAGCTCCCCAACCAGGAATTGAACCTGCAGCCCTGGAATTGGAAGGTGAAGTCTTAACCACTGGACCGCCAGGGAAGTCCCCAAATGCTGTCCTTTAGGAACTGAATCCAGAGTGGAACAAGGTAAAGACCTAAAGTAGTTGGAGAGCATCCGTCTTGATGACGAAGCCCTGAAGAGATGGCTCAGTAGAGCCTGCCACGTAGACCCTCAGAGCTGACCTCTGGCCTTCCTGAGCCTCTGCATCTTCAACTTCTTTTGCTGCCTTCTAGTGAATTTTCTTCTCTTTTTCCCCAGCTGCCTTAAGTTAGCTAGATTTGGTCTCAGAATTCTTGGTGTCAGGCAACAAACATTTGCACGAAAAGAAAAAACAACTTGTCTAATACCATAATTTAACCTGTTCCCCTCTTTTGTAGCAGAGAGGTAGCTAAGACACGTTACTAAATGCCCTATCTGAAAGCACTTTAATATTTCCATTGGAACTTTGGGGCTGGTCTCTCTTAAAACTCTGTGTGGAATTCAGCCGCCGATGTGGTCTTCTTCAAATTGCTTCCCGGATAGCTTGGATTTACTAGGAAAAAAGGAGGACTTTGGTCTATTTATTTCTCTCTTTGTCTTCTGTGGGCCATTGCTTAACTTCATGCTGTTATACAGTGTACATTCTCTGAGATAAGCTAAAACATTTTATTTTCCTCATTACAAAAATGCTACGTGGCTGTCATAGAAAATGTCAAGAATCAAAAAGATGAAAACAAAACTCACCCGTGATCTTATCACCAGATAATTGCTTCTTAACATTTTTTGCTGTATTTTCTTACAGTCTTTATGATCACACACATATAAATAATGTATACTTTACAAAAATAGGATCATAATGTTTTGCAAACTTAAATTAATTTAATGACATGAAAAAATTACTAAATATTATTTCCTTCAATATAATTTTTAATGTTGCATATACTCTTCCCTTTTGTATACTCATTATTCACATTCTTAGTTCATCTAAAACTTTGCATTCTTTTTATATGTGAGAATCTAAAAGTTCACTTTTCTGTTCTGAAATTATTGTAAATGTTGCCTAGTGGGGCCCATAGCCCACACTGATGTCCAGCTTACATTATCACTTCCTCTTGAGCACTGGTTGAGTGGCCAGGGGTAAATAAAGCAGGTGCTTTTTTTTTTGTGATCCAGGTTGGAGCTTTGCACAGACCTTGATGTGCTGGAAGAGTTGTGTTGAACTCTGAAATGTCCTTCAGCCTGGCAAGCCTTCTGCAACTCAGTACCTCACTATCAGACTGTCCCAGGGGAGAGTTCGCTAGTAAGTCGTATGTTATCAGTACACTTTAATCTCTTCCATATGCCAAACCCACAAAGCTATGCTCGTGGGAACTCTAACTCTCCTGGACATGACTGTGAAAATCTTTCCTCAGTAGGTTTCAGGAAGTGCTAAGAAGTTCCAGCCAAGCGGTGTTCCAGAGGAAGGGGAACACGATTCTGGACCATCATTTGCTTTACCAGGATACACAAGTTCTCCTGAGTGGTTGAATCAGGTAAGAATGCCTGTATTATCTTGGAGAAGGAGGGAGGGATCTTGAATCACCCCATTGTCTCAGAGATCTTGATGAAACCTCATTTGCTTAGCTTTGGAAACCCATTTTGCCAAAATATTACTTTTTACTGTCACAGTCTTGAAAAATGGGGGACCTCAGGGTGGTAAAGATCTAGCAAGTGGCTTGTTATGGTGTCATTAGAGCCTCACTGTTGACCTTGCAGGATTATGCTAGATTAAGTGGGAACTATTTAAATATGTACAGTCCTTTAAAATGTAATCATTGGTTCAGCTCTCCAAGGTACATTTGCCTTCTGAAGGGAGATATAAGGCATTTGCTTTCATGTTTAAATTCAGATTCTAATCATTTATGAGAAATAGTGCTAATGGTTTCAGAAAGAATGGTAATATGCTGGTGGTAATTCTGGCAACTAAATAGAGTGGTGAAATACACGAGGTACGTGGTTGTAATCCAGGTAAGAGGTGGGAATGCTAATGTTAAATCGAGTGCCATTGTTGACTTGTGTAAAAGGCCAGTGGTGACAGCTAGTTCAGCAGAGCAAAACCAGCAAAAAACAAACAAACCAACCAACCCAGACACACATGCATACACATATATTTCATATCATGTCTGTCACATAGGCTCTTACCACATAGCCACATTTACGTACGTCATCTGCATGTACACGCTTTGGGGTTGAAGGGTCCACCTGTCAGTCATCCATTTTTAATAGCCTTATTTGTGCCAAAGCTGTCTCAGCTGGCAGGAAGGCTCACAGAAACCAAAGCTTTGGGCAAGAACTAGGTCTACAGGGTTTGAAGTTTGCTACTGAAACAATAGCTAATGACTAGTAAACCTTTTTGACTCATCGAAGTTTCAGAGACATATCTTACATGTGCTTTCTGACTCAGGGCTGATAGTGAGAGTTGTTTTGCCCTAAGTTTGAAGCTGTCCCTACCGATGGTGGTGAAGGTGATCCTGCTGGTGATAAATGGCTGAGGAACGCCTGCTAACAAAAAACTAGGAAATAGGGAAGATGTTCCAGGCTCTTGGTCCTCTCCCAGTTCAGCCCTACCTCTGAAGTGTTTGCTGCCAGACTGATATTTAACCTTTAGTCTGTGGATTGCAAAATAAAATGACTACGAAGACCGGATAGATAAGGCCTACTGACTGGGTAGAGGCAGTGGCCGGTTGGAGAAGGGCTGCCGCATCTAAAGGGAACAGCAGCTACTAAGTTTTACAAAACTCTTGGTGCGTGGGAATGCTGTCTCCGTGTTGCCATATTTTACAAAATATTTTGAAAGAAAACCGAAGTTTCATATTTGTAAAAGTAGATTGTATTTTTACAGATAAATTGTAAGCTCTATCTTTTATCTTGTTGACTAAGTCACATTGAAATGAAAAATTGGGCCATACTAAATACATCTGTTTGTTGCCAATTTACAGCTCTTGGGGGTAGCAGCATCTTAGCCACATCTTAGCCATTTGTGGGGCAAGTCTTGGGACCACAATCCCATCTCACTGCTCAAGTTTCCTTGAGGTTAAGAAAACGGACTCTAAAGTTCCCACCTGTGATTCGTGATTCTTTAATACAAACTCATATAAACTCCCCTTAATGCTGCTGAGGAGCACAGAGTCTTTGCTATTTTAGAACCTAATGATAAATGCTGACATTCTGAAGGCTTATCACATTCCATGAAACAAACTATTACTGTGTCATCTTGTCTTATTTTTATAAAACCTCTATGAGGTAGGTACTAAAATTATCATCATTGTCACATCCCTATTTACAGATGGGGAAACTGAGGCTCAGTGATGGGGATGATTTTCCAGGGTCACCTAGTAAGTGGCGGAAATGAGATTTGAACTCTGGCACCAGACTTCAGAATGCAATTTTTAACCATCATATTATCCTTTCTCATGCTACATTATGTGAGTTTTCAGCTTCTGTAGTCCCTCTGAGTTATGATGAATTCTACTCCGAAAATATCTTAAGGAATCTGTAAGGACATTTTCTGCTTTTGTAGCATACAAGGGCCATTGTCTTTATCCTCATACTTCAACATGGGGTTTGCAGAATGTGTGGGATCCTCCTGACCACTGAAGAGGGAAATTTTACAAATGCCTGGCTTGAGATCAGAGATGCCAATCTCCTTTTCCATGCCCTTTTCTATTCAGGTAGTAATTGAAAGTTAGAACAGGAAGCTTAAAGGCCAAAGGTCCGTTTCACCTCCTTGTGGACAAGATACTTAGTCCATGGACACAAAGTAAAGCCCTAACCCCAGCAAGCTTTCTCACAAGTACAAGCCATGTGGGTACATCAGTTATCCCTGTTGACAGAAATGCTCCAATCTAGACCCATGTACAGAGAGCATCACTGCTATAAATGAAAGCAGTATGATGTATCCAAGGAATACAGATAGGTTTTAGCTTAGCTGCCAATGCCAAATGATGGGTGGTGGCTTCCAGCATGAGCACTGTGCTGAGAAGCGTTTGGAAACCCCATGTGAATTCATCAAGGAGTGCTGTAATTGACTGGTCTTTTCTTCCATAGGCTTGGGATACGGACCTAGTGGCAAATATGCCCTGTACTTGGTATTCTTGGTATAGTCTATTCATATGAAAGAGCTAAGACATCTTAGCCTCGGACAGCTTGAAGCATGTGTATTTTAATTTGTTATTCTGTCTTTTTTCTGTCTCTTCCGCAGTTGTTCTTCTGTCTCTGCTTTTCCTCAGGAGAAATGGCCAAATGTACCTTTTCCACATTAGAGATATTCCTGATTTTCCTCTTTGTGATGATGACAGGGATCACGGTGGCTCTTCTCAGCCTGTTGTTCATCACCAGTGGGACCACTGAAAATCACACAGGCAAGTATCATGGGTTCTCTTGTATGCTATTCCCAGCCTGTAGGAAATTTCTTCATTTTGGGGGACATCAAGGCAAGAAACAGTGTCTGCTGATAATGCTGGTAACAGGGCAGTTCAATGTGTACTTAAGCAGCCTGGGACGGTTATCTAACCTTTACCTTAGTTGCCCTTTATGCATTGATAGCAGTTTTTATCAAGTTGACCTTTGGCCCAAATAGCCAGTGCTGCATTCTGACATGCACTTATTTGTCTCACTTTTCCACTGATCTAAGTACAGCTCAGGATTCTTCAAGGCCCAGTAATGTGAGCTTTTACCCTGAGCCTCTTCTTTTTCTCTTTGCCTCCTTTCTGGCATCATCTTCTCTAGGGGGTGGGGGGCAAAAGGAGAAGGAAAGACCCACTGAATGTCAATTAGTCTGTGAAAGCTTTAGAGAAGGGGATCTTGAACTCAAATCACATGAGGGCCAATCAAGTTCCATAAATGGGGTGGGGGGCGTGGCCCAGGGTGGGGACAGGTGTCTCTCTGGTGAAGAGGGTCCACGGGCCCTCCTGAGTGCCAGCTGTTTTTTGTCATGATGTCACATCGACTCAGCCCTTCTGAGTTTTCAAGGGAAGCTGGAAATTGGGGGAGGCGGTTTAGACATCTGGGGGGTTTTTTTCCTGATTTTTTTTTTTAAATGTTGGAAATTAACTTAGTTTTTGAAAACCACCTAGGCTAAATTTACAGGCAATATCGCGTCCATGGGAGCCTCTCCTTTGATGATAGGTTATATACCTGATAAACAGTAGGGAAGACAGGTGGGGACTGAATGCTTTCACCAAAGTAAAGGGAGGGCTGGCCACAGGCCCAATGGAGAAGGAGAGGCAACATTGTTCACCTTGGTTTTCTCTTTTGCGGGCTCTTCTCTTTTCTAATGTATTCTCTACCTGTCCCTATGTTTTTTTGTTTAAAGACGTATTTATTATTTATTTTATTTATTTTTGGCTGTGTTGGGTCTTCATTGTGGCACACAGGATCTTCATTGAGGCATGAAGGATCTTTCGTTGCTGCGTGCGGGCTCTTCGTTGTGGTGCGTGGGCTTCTCTCTAGTTGTGGAGTGCGGGTTTTCTCTCTCTAGTTGTGGCGCGTGGGTTCCAAAGTGCTTGGGCTCCGTAGTTTGCGGCACGCAGGCTGTAGCTGAGGCATGTGAGCTCAGTAGTTGTGGCGCGTGGGCTTAGTGGCCCCGTGGCATATGGGATCTTAAGTCCCTGACCAGGGATCGATCCCGTGTCCCCTGCATTGTAAGGTGGATTCTTTACCACTGAACCACCAGGGAAGTCCCTGTCCCCATGTTTTGAATTCACTGCTCACAGACCCAGAGAAACAGAGATCCTCTTTTCTGGGAGCGGGCAGAATGAGTTTTAGACTGCTAGAAATGAAAGAATGCATAAGACTTAGTTTTCTCTTTTAAAATTAGAGAATCCAGAGCCTGAGGCTCAGGGAGGTAATTAATAACTACAGTCACTATTTTCATAGTAGAAGTTGCTATTTATTGAATGGTTACTTTGTGTCAAGCACTATGGTAAACATTCTATGTAAATTTCTCATTTAATCCTCACAAACTCCCATAAAGGTAGGTGCTAGCCTTAGTACTGCTTTACAGATCTGAGTCTCTGAGATTGAAAAGAATCCTTTGGCTATGTGACTAGATTTGGCGTTGGTTGGCACTACATTCCTACATTGGAACAAATGAGGCAATAGCAAAGGTGCCTGATTCCTTCCTTGCAATACTTGATGTCTTGTAGAAAACGTGGGCTTGGGGATGGGAAAACATGAATTCTAACTACACTTAGAATGTGGATGAAAGAGCTGCAGATTCTGAGTTGGAGGATCTGGGTTAGGCACCTGATTCATCATATGCTCTCCATGAAATCTTGCTTAAGTCATTTCTCTGGGTTTCAGTTTTCTTATACGTAAAATGGAGGAGATTGGATTATGTGATCTCTAAACTTTCTTGAGCTCCAAAATTCTGGAACCCAGAAGAAGTCTTCTGTTAAGCTCTTGCCTAAATACTTTCTGACCGCTAATGCACTGTGACACTGACATGTGTTGCCTTGGCCACCCCTGGCTGTTGTCTGGGGTGGAAACAAACAAATAAAATATATAAGTAAGATGTCTAAATATGTAAAAAAACAAAGCTATATGCCAGCCATCGTTTTAAATTTTGAATATGTATTAACATATTTATTGTCAATCAACCCTCGGAAGTAGGGTATTATTATCTTCTTGTTATGAGAAAGTTATGTTACTTTTCTTCATAGATGAGAAAAGTTGAGGTAAAACAGGTTAAGTTATTTGTTCAGCTAGTAAATGATAGAGTTAGTTTTCAAACCCGGGCTGTTTCTGGCACTTGCTCTTTTAGTCTCTATCCCATTCTGCATCCTTTGATATTCATGTGTGTGTATGATGTTGATGTAGAATATATGTATTAATATGCATACATATAGGTGATATGAGAATAATTAAAATAAACAGAACTATGTTAACTGGTGTAGAGTGATCTAGGTTGCATTAAGAGTAGAAAATTTAGAAGGTCGAGGAGGATAAGAGCAGGGTAGAGACAGCTGGGGTGGCATCCTGAAGGTGAGGGGTTAAGCTGGATCTGGCTGTGATGGAACCACACCTACTCTGAAGGGGTAGAGGAGACTGACTGAGGGACCAGAAAGGGGTAAGGTCTCTGGATGGAGAGAGTGGTAGACACAAATCCCCAGAGGCTGGATTTAGTGGGCTGTGTGCCAGGAACCTGGCACCTGATTTGTTTGGCTGGAATAGAAGTGCAGGGTGAGTGAATGAAGAGTGACAGGTTAGACAGGAAGGGCTTGTGAGGAGAAGTTGAAGGACATTTGACAGAGAGCTTGACTGTTAGGCTGAAACATCTCCACTCCGTGAAAAAGATCCTCCTTGGGATTACGCTATAAAACATGTTCCTGAGATGTTTCTCACCGTGTATGTTAGATGTAAGAGAATATACAAAGGTTCATCCTTAGGAACCCGAATCTGTGTGTTCTAATTGATGCCGACAAATGCATGGGCTGAAATGTTGTTTCTTAAATATCTTACTGTTTTTTGATTCAGGTTTTCCAACCACCCAGATCCCTCCAGCCACCCACCCTCCAGCCACCCAGGGCCCCACAGCCATCCAGGCATCTCCAACACCCAGCACCCCAGAGCCCACTCTATTTCAGAACTTCAGTGGCTACCGTATTGGTGTTGGGCGAGCTGACTGCACGGGCCAGGTAGCAGATATCATTTTGGTAGGTAAATCATGGGATCCTTGAGGAGACTGTGAAACAGGTAACTTTATTATTTTGCACCCTGTATTTATTCCTAAATATTATGTCATAATCTCCTTCTCACTTTTTATTGACTTCACTGCGTCTAACATCATGGATATTGTACTATGAGGAAGAGGGGACCTTTTATTTAACCACAACTCCCTTGTAAACTCAACTGGCCTTTTTTTGTGAGTGGAAGTGGCAAGGCGGACGAACTCCAATACTACAGGGGATGGGCAGGTACCATAAATGACCGAAGAAGGCCAGTGTAAGATGATAAATGTCTAGTAAATCCTCAGTTTTTTGGGGGGCAATAGAAAGTGGTGGTGACTGTGGTACAAGTAGAAAGTTGCATGGCTTTAGCTGATTGTTCCCATGTAAGGGTGTGGATCTAGGGCTGCCCTACCTTACGGTTTTCTCAAGAGAAGCCAGAATATTTATGGATTGAAGATCTGAGGATTTAAGTCTCTCCATTGGAAAATGGAAGCAACTCTAGTTAAAACTGGAAATCTAATGTGGGCCAACAGTGTGTTAGCCAAGTAAAACACTTCTCTGGATCAGTTGTGGCTATGGGCTGCTGGCATGCAACTTCCGGGCTGTGATGGTAGACACACATTTCTAGCCACCCTTCGCTAGGTAACCAGAGCAGGAGGTTGCCTGATGGGATTTTTCTGTCTCCTACCAAATAATCTTTAGATTCTAGGAATTATTCCCTGTTGTCTGTTCTGAAAAGCGACTCTGGAATGTAAACCTTAAATGACCACTCACATGAGAGGTAAAACAAGCAGTAGAGGGACCATGCTGAAGACCTGGGTGCAGCTTTTATGGGCGGGCTTCATGACGTGGTGAGAGAGGGGCTTCAAGATAGGTGTATTTGATTTGACTTGGCTGAGGGAGGGACAGCATGATAAAAGCCAGGGGGAGGCACCCTCAATAAGGATTACTTAGTCATAAGGAAACCATTTTCTTCAGGAAAAAAAAAATCACATGCCAAACAACCAAAGTGAAGGGGCCTCCAGTCTTCAGGGTATTCCTGGGAATGTGGAATGATGGCTGGGGAGAGATTTCTTCTCTAGTACCTTAGATAGGCTGGAGAAACGGTCCTGTTTCAAAGAACAGAAAAGCCATGAAAGGTCTCCAGCATCGTGATGGAATTCCTAAGTCACACCAGCTCCCTCCTTGCCCACAGGCCAGTGAATAGTTACTGCCAACCCAACAACTACTTTGCCTTTTTCTGCACGGAAGAGTAAAGCCTGTTTTGTGATGTTGGCTTTACTCTTGAAAACACATATCCTGTCTCACTCGGAGCCACAGTGTCGTGTGGACTGTATTTCTTTGCCTCTCCTAAGTCGTCTATCCTTGTGTGGTTGTGCCTGGTTTCTGGTAACAGCGGGGTGAGAAGGAGTGGAGCTGATTCTCTCTTCCTCTTTAGATGGGCTACAGCAAAACTGGCCAGAATGCACAAGGCATCCTCACGAGGTTGTACAGTCGTGCGTTCATCGTGGCGGAACCAGATGAGTCCCGTCGAGTAGTGTTTGTCAGCATTGAGATCGGCATGGTGTCCCAACGACTCAGGCTGGAGGTAAGTGATTGAGGTGGGAAAGAGATGACGTGATTTAAAGGCAAAGTCTGCAGGTGAACGTGACAGTAACTAAGCTCTCCTGGTTTCACATCCAGTGAGTTTCTGCTACCCTCAAGGTTAGAAGCTCTTGACAGTCCAGCAGATGATCGAATGGGGAGAATGAGCCTCATTCCACGCCAAGTCATCTTGGTCAGAACTTGCTTTCCATTCTGCTGGTTGCTCACCGTCATTATTAATGCTATTTTTTTTGTGAGCTTATTATGTCCCAGTGACTTTCACATACACGCTCTTGTAATCCTCCTTGTTAGAAGTCTGAGAGTGCCAATTAATCACTAACCCTCCCCTCAAGTTTTTAGATGATTAAGAATAGATGCAAGGAATTAAAGAGAATTAAAAAGCAACTCTGAAATGAGATTGGCCGTAAATTGCTGAAGTTGGGTGAAAGGCACATGGGGGTTTCATTATACTATTCTGATGATTTTTGTACATGTTTGAACTTTTCCATAATAAAATTTTAAAAGATTACAACATTAGCACTCTTAAACTCTAAACTGTATTGTAGAATATGGCAGGCTTTTCTATGATTTTTTCTGCCAATTTTGACCATGTAACCCACCTGTGGGGAAAGTTGAGCTTAGCAGAAAGGTGCATAGGAGGTCCTGGACAGGCAGCTTGTAAGATGCAGAGAGCGGGTGGGGAGGGAGAGAGAAATAGTTATAGACACATGGACTTCCAGGTGTCTCTCTCTCAGCCAATTTCTAGACCCTGATCTGGTTATATTTTCTGCAGGGATCAGGTCACAGAAAGAAAGTGTATTCTTAGTATCTGCTCACACACTTACAAATGTGAGAAAGAGGAGAGTCTGGAACATCTAGAATAATGACCATTAAATGTCCATTATTCAGTGTCATGTTCTATCAACCTCACCAAATAAACACTTTCTTCTCCTGCGGTGTGAAGGGGCCAGGGAGAGGGATGATGAGAGGGCCTAAAAGCATTTCTCTAGTGTCACCCCCTCACGAGGAGTAGAATGTAAGTCTCTCCCATCTATGGAAACATAAGGAGCAGAGGATTAAGTACTTTCCCCTCACCTACACTGACAACAAAACTGTGAGGTCAGCCTGTTGTTACCCCCATTTTGCAGGTAAGGAGACTGAGTCTTAGAGAAGGTTAAGTAACTTTCCCAAGTTCACACAGTTAGAAGAAGGTAGAGCTGGTTTCTGAACACATATATGCCTGACACCAGAGCCTACATTCTTAAAAGTGAGGTCATTCTGTTATCTTGGAGAGCATTGACCACCTGCTTTTTGCAAGACACTTTGTTAGGCACTTCAGGGGCACACAGCTAAGTGAGTCATAACACATGTTCCTATGAGCTCAGTACCTAGTTAGGGGATTGGAGGAAGGACTATACCAGAAATACTCAAATAACTATGATTTACTGGAATAAAGGGCAGTGATATATTAGTTATCTATTCATGAGTAATAAATAGCCCCCCCCGAAATAGGGACTTAATTAATATTTGTTGTTTTATCTCACACTTCTGTTGGTGAGGAATTCAGAACTGGCTTAGCTAGGTGGTTATGACTTAGGGTAGCTTGCAGTCGAGATGCTGGCAAAGGCTGCAGTCATCTGAAGGTTTGACTAGGGCTAAAAGATCCACTTCCAAGGTGATTCACTCATGTGGCTACTGACAGTTCCCCCACTGTCCATATCCTCATGACAGAGCGTCTGGCTTCCCTTATAGTGTGTAACTTAAAGGAAAGAGCAGGGATTTTCGCCCACTCAGCAGGTTGTCTTTTCGTTTTGTCAGTGGAAATATTTGCAAATGATATGACCGATAAGATGTGAGTATCCAAAATATATAAACAGTTCATACAACTCAACATCAAAAAACCACAAACAACCTGATTAAAAAATGGTCCGAGGACCTGAATAGACATTTTGCCGAAGAGGACATGCACATGAAAAGATGCTCAACATAGGGCTTCCCTGGTGGCGCAGTGATTGAGAGTCCGCCTGCTGATGCAGGGACACGGGTTCGTGCCCCGGTCCAGGAAGATCCCACATGCTTGCGTACCGCAAAAAAAAAAAAAGATGCTCAACATCACTGATCATCAGGGAAATGCAAATCAAAACTACACTGTGATATTACCTCACACCTGTCAAAATGGCTATCATTAAAAAGAACACAAATAACAAACACTGGCGAGGATGTGGGGACCCACATACATATTGGTTGGAATGTAAATTTGTGTAGCCACTGTGGAAAATAGTATGGAGGTGTCTCAAAAAATTAAAAATAGAACTACCATATGACCCAGAAATTCCACTTCTGGTTATATATCTGAAAAAAATGAAAACACTAATATGAAAAGATATATGCACCCCCATGTTCATAGCAGTATTATTTACAGCTGCCAAGATGTGGAAGCAACCTAGGTGTCCATCAATAGATGAATGGATAAAGAAGCTGTGGTGTATATACATATATACAATGGAATACTACTCAGCCATAAAAAAGAATGAAATTTGTAACAACATGGATGGACTTGGAAGCTATTATGCTAAGTGAGATAAGTCAGAAAGACAAATACTGTATGATATCACTTGTATGTGGAATCTAAAAAATAGAACAAACTAGTGAATATAACAAAAAAGAAACAGACTCAGATATAGAGAACAAATTAGTGGTTACTAGTGGGGAGAGGGAAGAAGGGAGGGGTAATGTAGGGTTAGGGGATTAAGAGGTATAAATTATGTATAAAATAAGCTACAAGGATATATTGTACAACACGGAATATAGCCAATCTTTTATAATAACTATACATGGAGCATAACCTTTAAAAATTGTGAATCACCATATTGTATGCCTGTAACTTACGTAATATGGTACATCCACTATACTTTAATTTTTTAAAAAAAAGAGCAGGGAAGAAACCACAGTGCCTTTCATAACCCAGGCTCAGAAGATGCACACCATCACTTTCACCCTGTTCTATCCTTAGAAGCAAGTCACCAAGTCTAGTTCACACTCACAGGTGGGAAAGTTATACTTCACCTCTTGAAGCCAGGGGTATTGAAGAATTTGTGGACATACAGTACTTTAAAAGTACAACACAGGGATTCAGGAAATGGAAACTAGAGGAAAATTCAAAGTGGAAGTGACACTTGAATGGGGAGAATTTTAAATGGTTGACATGGGGAGGAAGAGCTATCAAATCGAGGGGACAACATGGACACAGAGAGGCACAAGGGAGAAATGTAGATGTATTTGAAGAGACAGATTAGTTCTATTAGGACACGTGTAGGCATGTAATTGGAGATGTACCTGGAAGGTGTGTTGGTCATAATTTGTAGGGTCCTGGGATGCCAGGTTGTTTTTAATTCTGTGGTGATGGGGATTCTTAGAAAACTTTTGCGTGGAGGAGTGATGCAAACACAGTTGTGCTTTAGGATGATTAATCAGACAGTGATGTTCGAGGTGGATTGTAATAGACTAGAGCTAGCGGTGAAGACACAAATTGGCAGATTCCTTAAATTAACATCAAGGCTCTATTGATAAGAGTCCAGTGGGAAAACAGTAATCACACTAGGCATTTCAAACAGGGGATTTAATATGGGGGAATTTTACAAGGTGTTAAAAGGCTGAAAGAACTAGAAAGGGAAACTAGCATTGCAGGAGGGATTTAAACTTTGCCTGGCCATTTCCCCTATACTATGTAATGCTGGCCTAAAAGTTTTAAACCAATGGGACAGCAGTGAGACTATATGGTGGTAAAAAGTCAAATTAAATGCTAATGAGATTTGGGGATGAATTGGCATAAAAGCTAACACTTGACATAGTTCCTGTGACGAGTCAGGTATTGGTCTAAGTGCTTCATATATATTAATTCATTTAATCCTCCAAACAACTGTATGAGGGAGGTACTATTATTATGTCATTTGACAGACTGGGAAACTGAGTTGCAGAGGACCAAGTAACTTGTCCAAGTGTACGCAGCTAGGAACTGTCCGAGGTGGGATTCAAACATTGACATCTTCCTGCCAGAGCACATGCTCATTACCATAGCACTATACTGTTTTTCTGAGGAATCAAAAATGGTTCTGATTAGGAAATGGTGAGGTCATTAAGTAGAAATAGAGTCAAAACAGACACTTTGGGGTGGAGTGTGGAGGGGATAGCAGGTTAATGTATTGGGTTGTAGACCACTATGAAGTTAATACTGGGCACCATTTAACCATCTCCTCCTATTTTTACTTCCCCTTACAATCTGAGACCCAGAGGAAAGACCTATAAACGAACCCACTTACTTATCCCAAGTTAATCCAAGGGGAAAGTGTGAAAAATAAATGTAACTAAACTAGTGCCATTAAACTTACTATAACACCTGGTTTTTTTTTTTTTTTACATCTTTATTGGAGTATAATTGCTTTACAATGGTGTGTTAGTTTCTGCTTTATAACACAGATACATATGTTCCCATATCTCTTCTCTCTTGCGTCTCCCTCCCTCCCACCCTCCCTATCCCACCCCTCTAGGTGGTCACAAAGCACCGAGCTGATCTCCCTGCCTAACACCTGGTTTTAGTCAGATTCTCTGTCTCAGCTTTGAGATTGATGAAATTTCCAGCATGGAATAAAGATTAAAGAAGATCCCTGAGCAGTGAGGCAGGGCAGGAAAGCAGAATGACTTTTCTAACTCTTTCTATGTCATGTTCCCAAGAGTGTCAGCAATAGGAAATGGAATGGAAACTGCAGTTGAAGAAGTGAGCGATAGACATTAATGTCACTTCTTTGCTCTATGTTAAAATAACCCTCCTTTCATGAAGTAGGAAACATGCTACTTATAATGGCTATTGGCAGGCATTGTTATTACATGACTGAGTTTTTAATTTTTTTCTTTTTCCCCAGAAGTCCCACATGTCTGACTTCATATCAGAGACTGTAGTTTAGGATAAGATTTCTGTAAGCTGTTTGTAGTCTTCTTCTTTTGTTTTAAAATTCAAGATTCATAATTTCTATGTTTTCAAGAGCTTGATTCTTGCGTAAACCTGAAAAAATGCACTGAATTCTAAAAATCCTAATGTTACAGTTCTTTAGGAATAAAAATGTGTGGGACAGGGAGCTCTAAAGTTGACTGGCAGTTCCTTCTTTTCCAAGACCTTCTTGTCTTGGTTACAGAATTGTAAGAACATCAGCTTTTGACTTTAGTTACGCTTTCATGGTGTCCATTCATTGATTGTTTCCCCTTCTCCCTACAGACATTTCCTTTTCATGAAGCAGTAATATTTACTGTGTGAAAGAGTAGGTAAGAGTGATGAAGAGTTGGGGCTGGAGTTAGGATCAAGCAGAAGGAACATGGAACCTTATGGGGATGGAGAGTGTGGGCTGGTAATGTTGATCTAGTTATATCCTATTTCCTTTCCACATTTGCCTGGTATTACATGGTTGCTCATGTGGATGTGGCAACCTAGGAATCAGTGTTTGGGGCATGGAGAGGTTAATGAGGCATGAAGAGGGTTTGTAAGATCTCTTTCCTGATTCAGTGACCATGTGACTTAGAATGAAGGTGGTGGAGCTCTTCACCTAAAATAGAAAAGGTTGAATGGATGTCTTTATGTATTTTCAGTATATAGCACACCAGTTGCTGCTGCTTCCTTATGTACCATTGGTGTGCTGGAACTGGCTTGTACCAGCTCATGAGAGCTGATTGTTAAATATTTAGGAACTCTGTGAGTTAGTGGTTAAACTTTTGGTAGCTTGAAATTCACTATGGTGAGTGTATTTGCGCCACAGAAATTGACAGATGATACAAATGAGGGCTATTCTTTTTTCTTTCAGAGAAACAGTTTATCAACATACTACTGTCTATACCATACTCAAGGTGGACAGCATTGCTAATCAAAAAAGGCACTCTTTTGGGACTTCCCTGGCCGTCTAGTGGTTAAGATTCTGTGCTTCCACTGTAGGGGGTGTGGGTTCAATCCCTGGCTGGGGAACTAAGATGCTGCATGCCTCCCCCTCCCCCACCAGAAGGCACTCTTTTTTTGCTAAGCTCAGATTTGGATTCAGAATCCTTCTCAACACACTGCTTTGGATAGCAACCACCCATGAATAGGACTGAGTGCATGAGATGAGTAGTATTTGCCAGCTCTGCCATAAAAGAGTTTCCGCCGTTGTCCCTGGTATTAGGTGATAGTATCTTACACTGAGGAAGGTTGCCTGGGGTTGACACTTTTGCTGGAACATTTTAGTAATTTTTGACATGAAGTCAAGGCATCTTCCACAGAGAAACCACAGTAATACCAAACTTTAGTTGCAGTTGATTAAAGCATAATCAGATATAGGTATTCAGCACTAATGTAGCCTTTGAAGTCAACTATACTTCAATAAAAAACAGAAAAAAAAAGCGCTACCCAGCAACATCACTAATTCTTTCTTTTGTTTTCTTGATGTGTCTATACCACCCCAAACATTAATTATTCATCTGGATGTTCATTGATTAATTCAATGAACATTTACTGAGTCTCTTTGGATTAGGTATCTATTGCTGTACAGCAAGTCATCCAGAAAACTCAGTGGCTTAAAACAACAATAATCATGTATTAGTGCTCAGGATTTTTGTGGGTTAGGAATCCTAGAATGGCTGGGTTGGCTGATTCTGACATATTAGAACCACAGTCACATATCATTACTTTTGTATCATGAGGTTGAACTTGGATGTTGGCTGGGGCTGAGGTTGTTTGAAGCTTGCCTGCGTCTGAAGGGTCACCTTCTATGGTTGTTCACCAAACGGCTAGCAAGTTAGTGCTGACAAGATGGTTCCTTTCCACATGGGCCTCTCCACAGGATTGCTGGGGTGTCCTCAGGTCACAGTGGGTGGCTTCCCCAGGCCAATAAGTGTAAGTGTCTGGGAATATTGAGTTCTTCATTTTGGGAAGTGAGGCAGTAAAGAGGACTTCGCACTGCTCCTGAGATGCTTTCCCCCCTGGTATTGCATGACCAGTTTGCTCTCTTCAGTTAAGCCTCTGATGAAAGGTAACATCTTTGGGAAGATCTTTCCTCACTAACACCTATCATGTTCTTTTGCCTTACCTAGCTATATTTTTCTTCATAGAGTTTATCACTGTATAATATAATATCGCATATTTATTTATCTTTCCCTCACTAGAATAAAAACTTCTCCAGGGTAGGGACCTCATATGTCCCTAGTGCTTAGAACAGTGTCTGGAAATGAGCAGGTGAGAATACTGGTTGTATAGTTAGACTTGGATATAGACTCTGACTCTGCTCTTTATTAGACCTGTGGGCAAATTATTTAACTTCTGTACATGTCAATGTTTCCAGCAAAAGATAAGATTAAAAATACCCACCTCTTGGTGGTGTTATAGAGATTTTTAAGTGACATGATGTATGTAATACTTAGCATTGTGCTTGTACACAGCAAGAATCTATAAAATGTTAGCGACTGCAATTATTGTTGCTGTTGCTGTTACTGAGATGATAAACTCAAGCATAGAGTGAAAGGTCACCTGACAGGGATGTCACTGATATGGCTCAGTGGTTAGACTCATCAGCGCTTTTTCTCAGGCTATGCTCCTATGTTATTCCTCTTCTTAGTTTGGTTTTGTTTTGTTTTCCTTTCTTAAAGGTCCTGAACAGGCTGCAGAGTAAGTATGGCTCCCTGTACAGAAGAGACAACGTTATCCTGAGTGGTACTCACACACACTCGGCTCCAGCAGGATATTTCCAGTACTCTACATTTGTGATTGCCAGTGGAGGATTTAGCAATCGAACTTTTGAGTACATGGTTGCTGGCATCATGAAGGTAGGCAAGGGACCCCAGAGGACCCCAATGTTCTTTAGCATTGCTTACAGTGTTTTAGGAGTGGTGTGGTGTGATACGGAGAGTCCCTATAGGATCTCGGTCTGAGCACAGTCTTAGCACCTACTTCCCTTTCTCCTTTTTGACTCCCTTGTAGCTTCTGGTTCTGAGCTGTGGGATGCTAGTCCTGAGGCGCTGATTGATTGGGAGAAGAGGGTTCTATGGCAGTAAGCCTCATATGGTCACCCAAAGACACAGAAAACATTTTGTATCTATAACCCTTATAAATTATAGGGTCCCACATAGTCAGTTCTCTGCACAAAGTCACTTGAAAAGAAATCCACCAAGGGACTCAAAGTAATTACAAATAATTTCAAGCCTTCCTTGTATTTCCCAAAGAGCATAGAAGGGGATCCAATTTACACCACACACCCTCATTTCTCAAGTCCTCTATTGCAGCTCTAGACTGACGTGGGGCTCTGAACTGATACCCTCAAACTCTTATCCCATTCCTGGTTTGGGTAGCTTTTACTACTCTCTCCTGTCTTCCAGGTAATTATTTTCTCTCATAGAATCCTTGCTAATGTTTTCTTCATTCCTTTGTCTCTCAGGTTTTGTCTCTCTCTACCTGTTCTCATAAAATTACCACCATCCGCCGCCCCCAAATCCAGGGATCCATCTGGCAAAGGAAGAAATGTCTTTACAACAATGTTTTTCAAAGAGCAAAGAACAGTCTATGAATGGCTTTATGAAATCAATTTCATACGTTGTGATAAGCTTTAAAAAAGGAACTAAAAGAGACTGGAAAATAACATAATGCATGACACACAGGGTATAGTTTGTATTGTGAACTTTTGTTTTAGGATACATATCTTGATGTGTATTGAGTTATGATGAAAAATGTATCAATTACTATATTTCTCAGTCCAAAAAGTTTGAAAAGCTCTGCCTTAGAGGGTGTGAGCAGGAGGATGGAGAGTTGTAAGGTCACGTCTCCCATTTTGGCCATCTGAAATGGCAGACAGTTCCTGACTTGGCAGTCCTGAGACACTCAGGTCGTTCCCTATACACAGCATTTCCTCATCTCAACCCGGAAGGTCATGTCTGTTACCCCCAGAATGACACCAGCTTTGTGGTTCTCCAGCTTTCGTCCCTTAGCAGGGACAAGTTGGAGACAAAAGAAATTTTCCTCAGGGTTCTTCTGTTTCTATCAGCTAAGTCTCAGTGCCCACCAGGATTTCTAACTTTACTTTTTTTTTTTTTTTTAACGTATAGAGCATTGAGATAGCACATGCAAATATGAGACCAGGCAAAATCTTTATCAATAAAGGGAATGTGGATGGTGCACAGATCAATCGAAGCCCTTCTTCGTACCTTCGGAATCCACAGTCAGAGAGAGCAAGGTGAGGGTGTGATTATCTAGATAAAATCATGTGTTTCCTTTAGGAACCAGCAACAAAATCTAAGAACAGGGTTGTAACTTGATGGGTATGGTGAGATCCTGAAAGGGTATTAAAGCTGAAATAATTTAAAAACACGCTGATAATCTAAGACAAGCAGAAATAAAAAGAGAATGCAGAAGCACAGACCAGCCTATGCACACGTCTTCCCCCTTTGCTGGTTGTGGGAGTCAGATGTGAATGTTTGAAGGACTCTGGGCTTTCAAAGAAGGCACAACTGTGGTCTCATCTTAGCTTTATCACTTCCTAGTTGTGTAACCTTTAGAGATCCACTTAAATCTTAATTTAGGGGTTCTCTGCTTCTCATCTGGAAAATATAAAAATGTGCATAACGTATATTTGTTCGACTAATGAATAACTCTTTCAAGACATAGACATTATGCCAGCAAGACATAAAACTGGCATAATTGAATGGGACAACTAAGGAAGCCCATTATTTTTTAATTTTTTATGTGATGAACAAGGTTTTTGACAGAAGAGAAGTACTTGGCTACCATAGCAGAGTAAAATAATATTGCAGTTCAACTTGACCACTTGACATTTCATATTTGTCTCTATATTTTTTAAAAGATTTCAAAGGAGTTGATTTTTAGAAAATATAATCTGATTTCCCTTGAAAGGACATAAAAGAACCCTTTAAATTGTAGGTCAGGAATGCTTTTGATTTTGCACATTCCCTGCTATTTTTAAGAGATTTCACTAAAATTTAGTATGAGTAGATATTTCAAAGACAAAACCTTTTTTAAAGAAATAATATATGCTATATAATATTGCATATTTTACATAAAAATGTATATTTCATCTCCAGTTAGCTGACCTAATGCCCCTTTGCTCACAGTTGCAAATCATTTCTTTAGCTGAGAAATGAGATCCTGGATGCAGTTTGTAGAACTAGAGTGTCAGGGAGCCTTGCTTACTGAGAGTCATTTTGGTTTTGGTTTTTGTGTCAGCTACTGGCTGAGGGGGTCATACATGAGGGCCAGGCTCTAACCTAGAACTCACTAAGTTCCTCTGTTTTGCTGACTAGGTATTCTTCAAATACAGACAAGGAAATGGTACTCTTGAAAATGGTAGATTTGAACGGAGACGACCTGGGTCTTATCAGGTACTCTATTTACTTAAAAAAAAAAAAAATTTCTGTTTGAATGATTTTCCTTAATTACAGGGGGGAAAAAGAGACCAGAACAGTGACAGCAGAGACTGAGAATAAGCTGAGTGGTTGAATCATATCTGGGGTCCGGCCATGGGCCCTCACGCAACGTTCTCAGCATCCCAGGGCTTAGTTCCTCACCTGTAAAACAGGACTAATAAAAGGATTATGTGAATGAGGGATCTGGGTGAAGAAGTTTAGCATAGCGTCTGACATATAATAGATTCAGTAAATGCTAGTGGTTATTACTGTATCAAGATCTCATATGGTGGTAGACAATGATCTCTTGGAAATGAGAAAACAATCTGACCAACCAGCAAGTGATTATGGGTTTGAGGTTATTTCCCTGTGCTTTTCTGAAAGGATTAAGTCTAATGTAGGACAATGCCAATTAGTGATAAAAGCAGAACCGAGACCACCTAACAGAAGCAGATGAGGCAAGATTACATCTTGGCACAGATTTTAGCTCCATTTTGTACGTAAGGAAACACATGAATTTTGTTTTCTTTGACAAGAAAGCATTAGCATTCACGTGTGATTTTGGTTGCTGCAATTGAACTGACTCAGGAATTGTCTGGATGGGTAACAGTTTCAGACACCTTGACCCGTGGACTTGCAAACTGACACAGAAATGTCCTAAGGAAGCGGATGATAGCACGTAGGTGCAAGAGTCAAATGGCTTGTGTTCATTCTGGGCTCTCATTCTTAGTGGCTGTGTGACTTTGGTCAAGTTCCTTAACTGCTGTGTCTCAGTTTTCTTACTCTAAAATTGAGGGATAAAATGAGTCCTTAAATGTTGATAATAACTGTTCTTAAAGGGAGTAGGAGTCTTCCGGGGGATTATAAAATATCTAAGTAAAATTTCTATGTGAATAAAATTAAGTAAATTGAAAGTAATACGAGGTGAAGAAAAACATTGAAGACTGACCCACAGTTCAGATACTAGGGTTGGTCCTATAACTGGGTAGAGAACAGCATGGTGGTAAGGAGTTTGGGTTTTAGCATTTAGGTTTTAGGACTTGAATTCAAGCCCCAGCCCTGCCCCTTACTAGCCCTGTGGCCTGGGGAAAGTAATTTATCTACTTGCACCTCAAGTATTTTGTTTGAAAATGGGAATAATGCTACCTCATGGGATTGTTTGAAGATTAAATGAGATAGTGCATACAAAACTCTAGTTCTATGCCTGGCATAAAAAGAGTTTAATAATTTTAGCTAAAAGGTAAGTAGTAGAATAACATTCTACCTCTTCTAAAAATGCCATTATTGGCATCTCAGAGTGCTTGAAACTCTTAGCATTCGTGTTACTTCTTTGGGGTTAAAGTGAGGTCACTAAAAATTCCCTGATAAAATAACCTTTATTATGTGGGTTGATAAAATAGGACCCATTCTTTGTTTACAGTTAATTCATCTACCGATTAGTTGCCACCTAGCATTTAACTCAATAGGCTTTCTAAATGTCAGGCATGCAACTGTGTGCTTGGGGTATATTATTATGAATAAAGCATAGTCCCTATCTTAGTTTTATAGGCTAGTGTGGTGATCTGGGCAGGAGACAAGAGACAGACAGACAAATAATCATAACATAATCAGATGGCCATCAGTGCTGTCACCTGGGCATAAATAAATGCTGTGGGAATCTGGAGGTGGTAGCACTGAGCTCTACCTGGGAGCATCGTGAAAGGCTTCAAAAAGGAAATGACACTGAACTGGCCCTGAAGGAGCCATGGGAGTTCTCATGGAGCCGTGAAAACACTGCATTGTGAGGCCAGATTATGGGCTTAGGTCAAGGAGTGGCTGAGAGATGAATCTAGAAAGCTAACCTAGCTCTTGATTTTGGATCACTTTAATGGGGAATTTGGTTGGGAGACAGGATAAGGACATGTATGTATGACTAGTTAGAGAATTCCCAATTTGTTAGGAGAAGAAAGTGCCTTTTCCCTTATAGTTTCTACTTAACTCTTGGCTGAATAACTGAGACCATTCATGATTTCCTTTTTTAAAATTTTATTTTATTTTAAAATTTATTTTTAATTTTATTGGATTATAGTTGATTTACAATGTTGTGTTAGTTTCAGGTGTACAGCAAAGTGATTCTGTTGTACATATACATACACTCGTTCCTTTATTTTTTATTTTTTTCACATCTTTATCGGAGTATAGTTGCTTTACAATGGTGTGTTAGTTTCTGCTGTATAACAAAGTGAATCAGCTATACATATACATATATCCCAATATCTCTTCCCTCTTGAGTCTCCCTCCCACTCTTCCTATCCCACCTGTCTAGGTGGTCACAAAGCACCGAGCTGATCTCCCTGTGCTATGTGACTGCTTCCCACTAGCTATCTATTTTACATTTGGTAGTGTATATATGTCCATGCCACTCTCTCACTTTGATTTAGTTTCTGAATCATTGAAGAATGCCAAGAGTACACTCAAAAGTGCTATTTTGGGGACCAGATTCTCTTTGCTTCCTTGCATATAACTATATAACATATCTGGCAGTCCCAGGGTCAACTGTCAATGTTATAACAATGCTTTTCCATCTGCTGTGCTTAACAGCCTGCAATAACTTTCTGCTGTTTCTATAGCCGCTGTATATTATCCTTGATGAAATTGCCCCTGCAATTGCCTCTTGTTGCATAGGGATAATTGCTCTTTGAATACAGTAAAAATGATCCAAAGTGTAAAGTCAAATCTGGGCTGCTAAGTAACTCAGCCACCATATGTAGGTACGTGCTATTAGGCAGGATGCCAAGGTATGAGGAGTTTAGAAGCACAGAACCTCAGATTTGCAGAGCATGAAGATCATCGAAGTTTAAACCTCAGCTGAGGCCTGGAAAGGTGATGTGACCTGCCCAATGTCGCAGCCAAGACTATTCTCTTCACCCTGAAAACCATGTTGAAGTTCATAATTTATTCCTTGCTACTTTCATTGTTGTTTTCATTTCTTCATTCAACAAGTCTGCACCAGACACCTACTATGTGCCAGGAAGGGCTTTCCAGTCCTTGGAATGATGCATTTCCAGTAAATGGTCATAACGTCAGGAGTCAAATACCTGTGTCTGTGCTCCTTGAGCAAATCCTTTAAAATCTCTGAGACTCAGTTTCCACATTTCTCAAATGTAGATGTAACATCTCTCCACATAGAGATTATTATGCATTCATTCATTTATTAAATATTGTGGAAGATGTGTGTCATGAACTGAACTAGTACTATACAGATACACTGAGAAAAAAATTGGTTGTGGTTCTTATAGAACTTATAGTCTACTAGTTGTGGTTCTTATAGAACTTATAGTCTACTGGTGGAGACAAAAGGTAATCATATAGTCATACAAATGCATGTATAATTATAATTGGGTTAATTGCTAAGAAAGGAAGGTATGAAGAGCTATCTTAAAGGGACTTGACCTGGTCAGGGAGATTGGGAAAGGCTTCCCTGAGGAAGAGACAATGGAACTGAAAACCAAAGGAAGGGTAAGAATTAACTGGCAAAGTGGGGGGTAAAAAAGAACATTTAACACAGATGGGAAAACATGTGCAAAAGTCCTGTGGCCTGTTTGAGGTGCTGATAGTTCTGTGTGGGTGGAGTGCGAGGACAGTGGGGCATGGTGTTGTGAATTAAATTCAGAGGTAGAGATTAGATGCCATGATAAAGATTTGGGTCTTTAAACAAAGGGGAATAGAAAATCACTGAAGTGTTTTCAGCTGGGGTTGGGAGCTGGGGGCTCTTGAAGGGTTAGGAAGAGTAGTGACTTGAGGGATGAAAGAATTATGTGCATGAAACTATTCCATAATCCATCAAGTCCTCTACAATTGTAAGGCCAACATTTGCCTCACTTGATCTGTCTATAAGGAAAATATTTCTTTTTGACTGATACTACTGTATGAAAAAACAGTAAATGATTTTTCTCCAGACGTGGAGAACATGTTTGGGATGTTCTGTATTAAAATATAAGCTGTGTGGCAGTCACAAAATTCACTTAGGGAGATTCTGGAAGGCACCTCAAAGAAGGAGTCTGTGGAGTGGAGTTCTGGGAGATCCTGATGTAGTAAGATGCTATGGAACGAAGAAACGATGAAGGGAGAAAACAAAACAGGTTTCAAATATCTGTACCAAGAGAAGAATCACAGGGGTGGGCAGATAATCTGAATGGAGGCTCTGGGAGCGGCAGCTGGGAACACTGACTCATTTCCTCAAGTGTGGTGCAGCCGGACAGGCTCTGTCTCACTTCTCTTCCTTTCGCCTATCTTTTCCCGTCTGCCAAGTTTCCTTTCTCAAGTTTGTAGGAGTGGCATGGACCCTTCTTTTTTTTTTTTTTCCTCACCTCATTAACGCTTTAGGAGTCAGTATCGCACGGCTTCCTTCAGAACTGGAAGGAAGGTCTGAGCAGGTTTTTGAATAATTTCTCTATTGTCTTCTGTTTTACACATTGCAAATCCTTTTATTTTTACAGAAAGGGGTTATCCTTTCAAGGCACATTTTCAGAACACAACAAGGGGCAGTGATTTGTGCAACCTATTTGAATAATTTATGTACACACTTAGAAAAACCCAATTTATGAAATTAATTCATTCGAATGATACTGACTTATGGAACTCAGTTTGAGGGGTGTGTGTGTGTATAAATCTTCTCTATGATTTCTGACTATGACTTCTTGAATTATAATTTCTAACTGTTTATCCTCTATGGCTCTCTATTCTCCCCGCTACATTCTCTCCTCAGTGTACTTAACCCCACGCCGAGAGCAAATGTGGAAACCTCAGTGACTGCCTTTCACCAGCCATTCTTGACCTCTTTTCTCCATCTCATCATCATGTCTTTATAAATACCTGCTCCATTAGCCTTCGCTCTGGTTTGTGAAGCCCCGCTCTGTTTCTACATCCTGAATTTCTCTCTCCTATTCTGCCTCTTCTGTGTTGTTGTGAAGCTTGACGCCGTCTTCTTGCTCCAA